GAGGGCTGGCTCATTCCAAGCTGAGTCCTGACTAAGCAGCCAGAATTCGCTGGCATAATCCTGGAAGGAGCCACAACCCTGTTGCAGAGTCCTGAGTAGTCTGGTTGCTGTTTCTCCCTTAATGGGATCCTCAAACATCAGCCTGAGATGATTACAAAAGCCCTGGAAATCATCCAGCAGAGGGCTAGGCTGAGATAGCAACAGCATAGCCCAACGGGCAGCTGTGCCTGAGAACAAGCTGATGATAAATCCCACCTTTGTCCGGTCGGTGGGAAAGTCCTCCGCTCTCAAGCTGATAAACAGCCATCATATTAAGAAGTTTTAAGTACTGGAGTCTACCAAGCCATTGACTTACATTGCTGGCTCCTGATTGGCTGAGATGCAAGCAGCCAGCTGGCAGGAGAATCCCGCTACCTTATTGGTTAAGCGTCTGACAGCTCTAGTATAAAAGGGCTGTCAGCTGTCCCTTGCTTTGCTGTTTGCCGGTTCGAGGTTTGCCTTACATTGAGCTGTATGTCACTATAAATAAAGGTTGCGTTAGCTTCAACCTGCCTTGCCTCAGTTCCTGTCTGCCTCATTCTCCCTACAAAATAGTTTAGGAATCACATGGACCAGGGGCAGGAAGCCCCCATTTGTAGATTCCTAGAGGCTCTTTGGGGTAGGAAGGTCTGACCTTTTGAGCCTTTTTACAATGGCTTTTTGACAGACTAGAACGTTGAGAACCCATTTCTTCCTTAAAAGCTCAGAAATTTCAGATTCAAGCTGATTTCCCATATTTTGGAGAGTTGGAAGGAACTAAAGCTATCCTTAGCATCCACGAAGTTCAACCCAATTATTTCACTCCTTATAACCCCAATATAAATCCTTAAAATATAAGTTGGGGCCAAAAGCTTCAGGCCAGTCCACTTGTTAGCAGGTCGGGCACAAGTCAGCATCAGTGGGATGGGCATGTTCAAATAAGCAAAGTGACAGATGTGGCATCATGATTCAAGCTTCACCCCTCCTCTATGAGAGTTAATTTTGCACATACATGTTGACTTGTATGGTTGCCTAACTTATATTCTTTGTCCCTTCGTCTCCCTTTCCTCTCTTCCCAGAATCTTTTTCCTTGCAGAGGGGAAAAAATTGTTTGGACAAGCTTTCTCTTTCTAAACTGTTTTTCTTTGTGTGCTGGCCCTGTTTCCCTGGAAGGTGCTAACTGCAAGCAAGCTCAGCTCTGCAACTTTCATTAGTTAATTAGATTGTCCAGTTTGCATTGCCATCTGAAATTGGCATCCAAACCATTTTAGTTCCAAAGGCTTGCCTTTAAATCCTAAACCAGGGGTGTCAAACGCGGGGTGTTTAAATCTGGCCCATGAGGCCAGCCTAGAAATAGCAAAGCACCAGCCTGTGGTGCCTCTGGCAGCCAAAACGGACATGGGGGACTGCATGTGGCCCTCCTGCGTCAGGTTTTTGGCCTGGACAGCTTCCTGCAGCACTCTGGCAGCCAAAACAGAGTGCGGGGGAGTGGCAGGGTGCTGCAGGAGGCTGTCCAGGCCAAAACGGGACACAGGATGGCTGCACACAGCCTCCCACTCCCTGTTTAGGCTGGCAGGGTGCTACAGGAGGCGTTCGTCCCATCTCCCCCCCCCCCCCCCCCCCCCCCCCCCCCCCCCGGTCGGCCCATGGAGAACTACAATGCTGATTCGGCCCTCGAAGAAATCCAGTTTGACATCTAAGTAGTGTGGCCAGGAACATGCTAAGCTTGCCAGCATGAAGGCATTCCTTT